GTAGTAAAATAAAATTTCCTTCAAATTCTATAAAGGTGTTGAATACCTATACCTATATATTGTATATATAATTTATTTGGGTTTTCAATATTTTTTGACGTCATTCGAGCCTAATCATTGAGATCTTGGCTGTGTCAAGTCTGTGGTTTGACCGGGTAGTATGAAATCTGACCATCAGTCTGACCAACCAGCTGTTTGGAAATATCGGTCAGGTTTCAAACCTGCCCACAAAATTACCACGTTAACTTTTGATGGGAGTCGAGTCAATCATTGACCATTCTGGTATCACCACTGTGGTTGAACGAATGACTTGACCCAGCCCTTGTGTACCAGAAGATAAATATAACATTACAAAGGTCACTGATACTTCTGGTGCTGCTGACCTTGCCTAACTTCAGAATTCAATATTCTCTAAAATAAGTTAGTTTTTTACTGAAGTGTACCTATACTTCAAGTTCGATCTGTTCTATTGTCTTGAATTACCCACTTCATTAATCGCTTCAATCCAACATAAAATTTGCCAAAAACAATCTATTGATGCGGAAATATTCGTGTCATCATCACGGAATGAAAAATAGTTACGAAATTTCCTGTTAAAATATTTATCTGCGATAACTAGCGAACGAAAAAAAAGTGTCATCGAATTGAACCAATTCCGAGAAAATTTTGATCCAACAAAACCGACAATCAAACAGTAATTTTTGTTAGATTGTACGTGATTTACAATCCGTAAAGCGATCCATCATGCCTGCCATCGATATCTGAAATCCCTGCATTATCGGTCCTTTTATACGCCGCTATCTCCTCGACGTCTGCACTGCTAATCCTTACGAATACATCGCACACATCGCATACTGTATACCTTTCAACTGACGAAGCGTATTTCGACACAGCTGGTATTATTAATGAGATCGTAGGTATTACCTTTTCTCGTCAAACGCTATTTTATCCTATTCGATAAAATAATCCAAGCGATAATAGTATATTATTCAACAAGCATATAATGAGTGCTATTATTCACGAAGGTTAAGTTTATGTCACGAGCGTAGCGAGTGGCATAATTAACCTTAGTGAATAATAGCTCATTATATGCGAGTAGAATACTATACTTTGTCCACGACTACTATATTGTCCTTGATATATGAATTTATTTTCAACAACTGTTTTATCATAACTCATTTAACATTAGGAAAACTGAAAATTGAAGATACCTGTTATATTAATTCTTTCTAAGACTATTATAGGCCTATTTATGCAAATTGCACCCATTATTCCCATTATCATTGTGACCTGATAAGGATGAATTTTATTTCATGAATCCTAGTTAAGCAAGTTTTTTTCATGTCTTACCTTCATTGCAAGATATTTTTCATCACATGCCTGATTCAAAAATTTCTAGAATGTATCTGATTCTTTCGGATGAAAGCCTTCAGACTTCCTTTTCAGAAGTGAATGCAGTTTTACATAGTTTTTTATATTGACTCCTTGATTATATTAGGCATACTCCTGAGCATCGAGTGATGTGTCCATAATGTGGATGGCTTATATTTTGCAGCTGATTCCGTGAAATATACCAGTAAGACTGACTCTGAGAATGAATGAATTTTCTTAGACGCCCTCCAGTTCATGCAGGTGTTGTAAACAGATGCATACAGATTTCGGGAGTTCTCCGGCAACGAATTCATTGACGTGACTTTTGCAGCTTCTATTATCTCCTCAATATCCATTTTTTAGGAATTATAACTGAAACACCGCGTGTTGTCGAAATTTGACGTTTCAACAATGACAACTATTTATGATTAGCTTGTCATGTCATACATGTCAATGGCTTCCGTATTCGATATCATCTTGATATAGTCTATTTGATACTAACATCTTATTCCAAGTATACATACATTATAAAGAGAGGAATAATGTAATACTGAGGAGGTATATCAAGATTTCTATATATTTGAATATGATTCGTATGAAGTTAGCTAAATGTACCTAGCTATAGCCTGAACGTGTACTGATATAAATGCTCGCTTATAATACAAAACATTTATCGTGTACCCTACGAACTCTAGACCAGTGAATAATGATTATTCACCGCTATTATTCACTGGTGTGAAAAATGCCTATCGTTTTGCTTGAGGAAGTACATGTATTATGAATATTTTATACAACAGTCGTGGACAAAAAAAATTATCGGACTTGTAGGTACTTTGTAGGAAGGTGCTGAATTTTTTTTGTTCAATTTATAATTGCGAGATTATTCTTCTAATCACGCCAATTGCAGGCGTTGTCTTGCAATTTGGACCCAATTTACAGATTGATCCGGCAATCACCTATATTCTAATTGTGAGCTTCATCTTGCCATTAGGGCCAAATTGACAATTGTATCTGTCAATTATGATAAAATTTTTAGATTTTTCTTGCAATTAGGAGATAATTGACATATTTATCTGGTAATTAGTCTGAATGTAACATTTTTACGTCGGCGGGAGTAGAAGTTAGTTTCTCTGGTAACAAAAGGGGGCAGAAGTCTCGTATCATTCCCTAGGGAGATAATGTGACATATTTTCTCTCTAGCGAGTTTATACCAACTTTACATTTTCCGCATAGCTCTGCGCTTCCTTTTCGGAACACTCTTCTCTGAAGCGAGTATAAGCTGTATCGAACAGATTTCTATATCTCACTGGTAGCAAGTTGAGGATCACTGCAGAAGCAGTATCAATAATTTTTTGGGGTTTTCCCTAGATTTCAGTTCGATTTTTGCTGTCATTTATTTATTCTTTCTTAATTTTTGTGTTTTCACCAGCGTAAAAAATAGTATATACACCTCAGGACAGAATGCTATTTTTCCCTCGGTGCTTTGTATCTCTCGTCCTTCGCCCTCGAGCCACAAATCGCACCTTTGAAAAAATCTTTCATTTCTGTCCCTTGATGTATAATTTACTTTTATCTTCCAATTATTATTATCTGTCAATTATTAAAATTAGGGCATAATTGATTGACAGACAAGGTCGAGGACAAGGTTTATCTTGCAGCAATGAATCATTTAACGAATGAAGAAAAGTTTAAAAGAAATTCCAACAGCCATACCTCCCCTCCCAATGCTCCCTAGGTACTAACGATGTTCTTCGAACATTATAGGAATGTCCTATCGTGCGCTCCAAGAGAGACAATTCGGATTACGTGATCGTGTTTTATGAACAGTCGAATGCAAAGAACATGTCGTTGTTGGATGGTGTTTGCGCTCTCATGGCAGAAGTGACTAGAGGTACTATCACTACTTGACTAGAGGAAAAAAGTACTTTAATGATCTCAAACCGATAGGATAACTCAAAAAAAGGAAATAGCATTTTCATGAATTCACATGGAAATGAAAAGAGACTATTCTTTAAAACAACACAATCTAACTCGGCCAAAGGAAACCTTCACTCTAAAAAATAATTTTATCAAAACTTTCTCTCAACAGTAAATGCTTCCACATCAGTTTCAGGGAGGAAGAAAAATATCCCTCCTGCATAAAAAACAACACTACTTCTTTTAAACCATCTAACCTCAATCGGCCTAAATGAACCTTCTTCCTAAAAATTATATTTTTCTGAACATCACTTGAGAAAACAGAATGAAAAAGCCGACCGTCGCAGGCATTGAACCAGGATCGCCGACGTGGGATCCAAACGCACAGTCAACTACGCCACGAGTAGTAGTCACTGTGGTAGTATTTTATTTTATTTTTTTTATCGCTTGGAGCGCACGAGAGGGAATCCCTATAATGTTCAAAGAACATCGTGCGTTCCTAGGGAGGATAGGGACAGGAGGTAGGTATTGGAATTTTTTTTGAACTTTTGGAGATTATATGTTGTTGGGAATACTTCCACAGGCAATGAATTCCAGAGCCTAGCCGTTCTATGGATGAAGGAGTCTTGATAAAGTGCTGTTCGACATCTTTCGAGGTTGACAACGAAAGGATGTGCTGACTGGGCTTGTCTAGTTCGTCTGATTGGTATTGCTAGTGAAGGGATGATAGCAGAGATTTCCGAAGAACATTTCCCGTGGAAGTATCGATAGAAAAGTGAACGGTCGCCGACCTTTCTACGGTGTTCCAATGATGTCAAAGAGTGAGTGAGTGTGGCGTCACCCACCAGGCGAATGGCTCTTCTCTGGATGGAATCTAAGAGCATCAGCGTATGTTTTGGTGCTGAACCCCATATGTGGGAACAGTATTCTAGAACAGGCCGTATCTGCGCTTTGTAGATCATGAGAAGCTGTTGAGGTGTAAAGTAGCTTTTCGCACGGAACAAGAATCCGAGTTTTTGTGAAGCAGCTTTTGCGATGGATCTGACATGATTATCCCATGAAAGAGTGTTGCTGATGGAAATACCGAGCATAGATATGGTGGGCTTGGTGGGGATGGTGGAGCCAGAGATTACAATATCGGGCATACTGAGTTCCGCCTTTCTAGAAAAAATGCAGGCTTGAGTTTTGGTGGAGTATGAAGAAATAATTCAGTCGCTTTATACCTGCACTTGCCTCTTGTCTCTAGGCACTGTAATATTCGGATTCGAAAGAAGAAGCGATAACTGGCAACGTTGCACTCTCCCCACCATTCTAAAATGTATCACAAGTATACTCCCAGACGCCACTGCTATCACTGATGCCCATGTACGACATGTTCTTCACAACTGACTGAACCACAGCCTTCTTCAGAGAGGAAAGCCGCAGTGAGAGAAATGCAACACCGCATCGCACACCCTTTCACTTATAACTCCATCACTAGAATATTCCTTAAACTTTTCACTGGCTTTCAACTATATTTCACATTGATAACACATCAATTCACTCTTGAAAACTAAAAACAATGGCTCTGTTACATCCAGAACCCATTTATAATATTAGCGCGAATGGCTGGAGGTAGACCTTTCGAACAGTGTTGCCAGACTGGTTTCACCGCGGCTTGTTATTCAGGAGGCTGTGACTGAACATAATAAAGGGGTTAACGGTTAACCTACCTGTAGATTTTTCTTTACTGCGTCCTGCAGTAAACGGTGATAAATATCTGGGTGGGCCACCAGTGACAATTGGTGAACCCCAAAGACTTCTGCAGTATGTGGCGAAGCCATTTGGAGATGGGAATTGAGAAGGAGATCCATGTCGTTCAGAACCTGAAAATAATTACTAAAATATTGATTTGGAAGATGTAATACATTGATATTTACTATATATAAATATGTTTCCTCCTCAATTCGTTGAAATAAAAGGAGAATAATTCTCGGAATGAATGATGAACATTTATTGGAATTCGTATTGCAAACAATTTTAATACTCATTCTCATTGTTTGTTTTGCATTCAACATATAGGTTAGATCTATATAAGTATGGTATATACTTTTCTTCAATTAAATGTAGGTATACATACGTGAAAAGAATAAGTATCATTCAAGCAAAAAAAAGAATATCGTCCGTCACATTCCTCCAACATTAGAAATTAAATCTGTCCGATTTTTTGAGAGAATATAAGAAGCTTGAATATCAAGTTACATTCATATCATCCGGAAACAATGACTTATGTTGAACATGTGCATCTGCAACAAATCCTCAATACGTTCATTGCGATATATGTATATATCTATCCAAACGCACATGTTCCATTGAGTAGAATTGAAACAAGATCCACGAAGTTTTTTTCAACGTGTATAGTGAACAATTGCTTCCTGTACATTCGACTTTCACACAGATTTTTATGCTCATCTCATGAAACATGTTGTGTGTATTTTTTTATAGTATTACGCTAACTAAGACGCGATATTCAGACCGAATGAAAACGATTTTCTGAATAATTATATGAAGTCAACTCATTATTCACTCATTCGAGTTCGAGATATGAATCAAATGAATATCAAACTAAATATTGAATTTAATTGAATAACCGTTTTTGAAATTTTGACCCTGTCATTCTAAGACTAATCACTGATACGAATAGTTTTTTTTGAAAGTTCCAAGCTCATCAAGATCCGAATTTATACAAGTATACTTCTCCTATACATTTCAACTTTCATTTCTATACTGAACATATTGGTAAGTTATATTTTTATATCAAAATAGATCATATTATTACATCAGATTTGAGAGAGGATTTCATCTCTCAATATCAGAGGGTTTTCATTTTTCATGCTCTCCTTTTAAATGTTCAACTGATATAATTCAATGTTCGACGTGGCGACTAGGCAGGAAAGTAGTTGTTTTCTGTTGAATATTCAGAATGATATATTATGTGCATATTCATATTTTTAGCTGAAGGAGAATGCAAATTCTCAACTTCAGAAGATTTTGTTTTCAAATTCTTATCGTGTGTGTTCAATATAGATACAATGTTCGTCGTGGCATATAGCCAGGGAAGTACTTGTTTTTTGTTGAAAAAATCGAGAAAGAATTGATAGTTTCATCACATAGAGAATGCGAGTTCTCAATGTATGCGATGTCTTTATATATATTATACAGTGTGACCCATTTAAAATGGAACCACCCCTGTATCTTACGTTATCGTTGGGTAAGGAATGATCCTGAAATTTGCTGGAGCGAGAGATATACCAAAAATGTACTCTATGACCAAGTGGGGTCATCTTCAGTGATATACACTGCTCGCCAACAGCCATGAAACTACCCCAATCTCCGGAAGATGATATTAGGAGTCAGAATAGGTCGAAAATCACTTTAGATTTGGAATCAGGACGCCCAATTTACTAACTATTCAAATTTTTCCTGGAAAATTTTCAGTTCGGGAAAAAGGAAATTTTGTCGCATTTTTTATGGAAGCACCCCCGTATCTCACGTAATTGACTTTATCTATGGACTTTCTCTTCCTCCGGCAAATTTCAGAACCCTACCTCAATAATTACGTGAGATACGGGGGTGCTTCCATGAGAAGTGAGACAAATTTTAATTTTACTGAACTGAAAATCTAGGAAAACTTTGAATAGTTAGTAACTTTGGCGTCCTGATTCCGAATCCGACGTGATTTTCAACCTATTTTGACTCCTAATATAATTTTCCGGAAATTGGGGTGGTTTCATGGCTGTTGGCGAGCAGTGTATATCACTGAAGATGACTCCACTTGGTCATAGAGTGCATTTTTGGTATCTCTCGCTCCAGCAAATTTCAGGATCCTTACCCAACGATTACGTTAGATACAGGGGTGGTTCCATTTCAAATGGGTCACACTGTATATTCCATTCCAATACTTTCACCCAATCAAGGGGTTCAAACTTGAACAATGGAAACTTGTTATCTCTAATATAGACCTTCAATCGTAGATTCGTGATTAGGTTTTCTCAATACAGAATTCCTTTCCACGTCCTGTATGATGAATATCAATTTATCATACATTCAAAAACCTGAATAGTGATTAGGTTTATAAGGTTTTTCTGCTCTTCATCAATTAATATCCCGATTCACAAAGTTTTGTCATAAGCGGAAACAATCCCGGTGTCATGGAATGAAGGGGAAGAGAAAGAGCGATCGAAGCACAGCCAGCAATAAACTGTAGAAAACTAATTATTTTTTCGTCAATTTCAATTAACGCCCTAGCCATATGCAATCTAGACCTCACTTCAAAGGGAATTCGATATAGAAATCAAATTATTTTAACACTTCACTCTCGACCTGATCTGTTTTATCTCTTCATTCATCATTTTCATCATCAGTTCCATGGATGCCAGAGATGTTGCTGAAAAAGTACAGGACCGCACTCAGAAATCCTCCAAAATGTATAATGTGCTGATTGAGATGTTTATCAGAATATGGTGTTCTTAATTAAGGCTGGTCAAAAACTGACGACACTTATAAGGTTCTTTTTCATAGGAAATCCGGAAGAGGTGCTGATATCTCCATATTTTTAATGAAAATCGGCCCAAATAACAACAATCACGACAAAAAAATACAGAAATGGTGTAAGTACATTCATTCTTGACAGTGTTTAATGAACTTGAGTTTCTATTTCCATTTTGAAGAGAATTCGTACAGTGACATCTATTAGAATGAGATGTAACAAAAACCTTATATTGCGATTTTCAACAGTTTATTGCCGTCAAGTTTGAGCAAAACAAGAGCGCATCAGTGCAAACACCATATTAATCAAAAACATCTTAGTCCTGATGTGTGCAAGGCCTGCGAGGATATTGGTATCTAGTTTGAAATATCTTTGCATGGTGGGATCGGTGAAAATCTACACAGTACATTATACTGTTCATATCAAATACGAATATATCGACAATCTATTCAATTTCCTATGAATGAACCTAAGAATAGAAAAGGAGGTGTAACTTTCGGTGATTTAAAGCACAAATAAACCTCTCGAAAGTTTATCTTCATTCAGATTATACAATACTTCTGATAAATATTTTCAGATCCACATATTCACATTTTTTCAACGTAGTGAAACAACAAGACACAAACAAAAGTAGATTGTTTTATCGGATCATATGTGACACTTCGAAAAGCGAATTTTGCCTTACGAGGCGGCTAGCAACATATATCTATCCTATAGCAGAAATAGCAGTTGTGTGTTGTGTTTATCTCGTTCCTTGGTCTTCGATTTTTCCATTGAATTTTTGAGTTTTATTGACATAACCTCATTATTACAACTCTCTTTTTTCCAGTACACTAATGATTCATCTCAGGCGCTGGGTGGACAGTCACTACCATGTACCATGATGTATCGTGCTACTTGTCTTTCTTATTGACTTATGACTTTAAGATGCCATTTGTTGGTTCCCACCATGAATATAAATGAAAAAGTTTTCCGGGGGATTGTTGGATTTCCCCATAACTAATTTCTACATTCAAAACCCTTATATTTTTTTTATAGATAATGTAAAAGTTTTTGACATAACCTTTTTTTTTTTCATGAAAGCACTCTTATTCTCATAACCATGTACCAATTTTTTCACTCCACTTGAGAAACCATATAGACTTCTACCAAAGATCAGCATACCAATGTTTGTGTCAGTAGTATAGAAACGTCAATTCAAGAGCTAATTTTGGTAATAAAATGGACGACTTTGGTGTCGGTTGCAGAAAAAAATATAATATAAAGTGAGATTCAACAGGAGGTATCTATGGATATGCTGGGAATGCAATCTGAGACCATAATTCTAAAATATAAAGCAATATAGTTTCAATTATTTCTAAGTCATCCCTGCCTAAAAGTTTAGGCCTACTATTAGTGTCCATATCCTTCACATTCATTGAAAAGCTTATTTATATCAATAAAAGCACCCGTCATATAATTTCTGCTACATCATATTCGGCATGTAGGCAGACGATGACGTATCATGAGAATAATCACTTCTCTGGAGTTTTTATTACTTACACTAATTATCCGAAATGCAGCTGCCGAAATAAATCCTTTGACGGCACCTTTTGTCGTTTGTCCGACAATAAATTAATAAATAGTCATCAAAAGAAACATTTGTTTCAATAACATGCTCGGGGCAGTTTTGTCAAACGGTAAGAATAGGTATTATTTACACCAATTATTGGATGACAAGAAATTTGCGTATGTCCGTATATTTACTGCGAGAAAAATGTATTATCAAAGAATTAATGATCGATCACGATTAATAGATAAAAATGAAACGGATATATTATTCATTTATTGTTCAAATAATCAAGTGTGTGAGATAACTTGAAGAGATCCAATTTCCAAACCACATCAAACCTACTTATAGGTTAGGAACGTGAGTATAGAGGTTGATAGAAGATTTATTGTCCTGTTTGATGTTGGTTTCTCCACTTCTGCAGGTGTTATATTCGGTTCTGTTCTCTAGGTGAAAAAAATGTCAAATTTCGAAGTGATCAAACATTCATCATATAAAGATCCAATTTAGATTGGTCCTTTTAAAATCCATGTTTTAGGAAATCTATAATCATCAATCTGATCAGATCTTTTTTAATGATGAGGAACATTTATAATAAGCAAAAAAACGCTCTTCTCATGCACAACTTCTATCTATTAATATCATTTTCAAAATGGATTTACCACTGCCCCTTTACCAGATCAATGGAGCTGTTCAGTTATTATCATTTCTTAATTTCATTTCATTTCAGCTTCTATTATAGAAAATAAAGATACATTTAGAGTGTTAGGATTTAGTACTTTGGACTA